CAGCGTATACCTTTCTTCTAGATTCTGTCTGTCTCTTTTTTAATGATACTTTTCCTTACTGTTTGTCCATACATACTTTTGTTCTAAAATTGCGTTAGTGTTTGTTTTTATATGTATGCATAGCCTGGTCCTCATGCTTAGAATACTTTTCTCCTCCTTACCCCAAGTTGAAACTTAAGACTGAACTCAAAGACTCCTTCCATGGTAAAACCTTGCTTAACTGTTCCTCAGAAACAGAAGCTTCCCCAATCTTTTCTATCCCAGCAACTACCACATAACCCAGAATATAAACATCACAAAATAATTGTTTGTTGAAGGAATAAGTGATTTCTGCTTGCTTCTATCTCATACGACATTGATATTTGGGACTACAAAACTTAACACATTTTGGATTGTATAACTAAAAAATTATTGTATTTAGAGCCAGAAGACTTCAGTTAAAGTTCTGACTCTTACAGTAGCTATGTGATATTGGCCAAATTACATAGCTCCTATAAACTTCCATTTTGTCACCCATAAAATGAAAAGCACACTTATAAGAATATTGCGAGAATTATTAAGATAATATGTATAAAAGCAAGGTCCATAAATACAAGTTAAAAGAACATAGACTATGTGGGAATACTCCAGTAAATGAATAAATAAATGAAGTTGAAATCCATACTGAATATTTAAGTTGGTGGTACGAAACTGTATCCAGAAGCAGTAATGAAATGCATGTGTATAAATACAAGAATGTAATGATACTGTTATACATTAGTAAAGTGTAGTATAGAAGTCTTTAAGTTAATCGTTTGATTTTATTTTGTATCACACAAATAAGTAATTCTTTGTCTGGTTTATGTCCACAGATGAGCATCATTGGCATTACCTGGGAGCTAGTAATGCAGAATCTGCCTTAATCATAATTTACATTGTAACAAGATCTTTCAGTGATTCATATGCACATTAAAGCTTGAGAAGCACTGATTTAGAATATTATGAGAGATCAGAAGAGGAGGAACTTTTTAATAGCTGGAAGATTAGGGACAGTTTAATAGAGGTAATATTTTGCCAAACTTTGAAGGATAGCTGATGTGTTGTATATGTAGGATGGAGGGAGTACTTCCATGTGCAAGGGACTGCATCTTGGTGCCCCTAACACCAAGAAGTGGCGTAATAAGAAAGGGATTTAACACATTCATTATACATAATAAATGCTATAAAAATATAGTTCAAAGGAGGAAGTGGTTAACTGTAGTAAGGGATCAAGGAAGTCTTCAGAGACAGATTAGGTACATTTTGTAAGGAAAAATAAGAGTTCTTCAGACTGAAGAGAGGGAAGAATATTCACTTAAGAACTATGCAAGTGCAGTAATTGGTGGAGGCAGTCCCTGTGTTTTATGCTTCTCAATCTTCACAGACCTAAAACAATGTGGATTTAGACCATGAGCTTCTTGGGTTTGGAAGCTGTGTTTTACTGCCTATCAGTGTCATACCCATTGCCTAGTATGGAGGCTGGTACATAGCAGGAACTTCATAAATGTTTCATGACTACATGATACTTTGTGATTAAGATAAAGATGTTGTGCTGCTAGAGCTGAAGCCAACACTAATTCAACAGAAATCCAGCAAGTAGTTGGAGAGGGCATGAACAGAAAGATGGTCTAAGTCACCCAATAGCCATTTTCCCATCCTCATATTTTTCTACCTCTAAATATCTTTGTATCTATATTGAAGCATTCATCTTTCCTCCAAATCTTAAAGGAAAGATTTCTTTCTTCCTTTCTAAGGATAAGCCTCTACAAGTGCTTTTATTCCCTTATCTTCTTTCTTCCTTTGGAACCATCCTCTTTGTTTTTCTCGCTGGCATTTTTTATGTCTCCTCTGTTTCTTCCATCTCTACCATCACTCAGGTCCCTTCTTAATTGACAGAATTTTTAATTAAATCTACTACTTCCCTTTTTCCTTATTTTCACAGCTCAACTATCTCTGCTATTTCCTATTTCTTCAGCATTCAGCAATCCTTACTGATCTGCTGGAACTTCACTTGCTTTCTATGATCCACAGAAGTATCTTCATCATTGTTTCCACAAAGGGAAGTTCCATGGCGACAAAAGTTTGGTAAATAATGTGTTAAGCAAGTTTCCTTAAAGCAGAATTCCCAGTATGCCAGTATTACTCGTGAAATTCCAAGTGGAATTTGTAGTATGCAGGATTTTCCAGATTTAGTGATATCAAAAGCTTTTTGTGGAGTGCATCTCATAGGATCCAGATACCACAGAACATGCGTAAAGAAACACTTGCATACAAGATAAAGACAAGTTTAAAAAGATATATTTTTTTGGCCTGATATTTATGCTCTTAGCAATTTGTCCCAGCCTATCTCCTACAACTTTCGGAGAGGAACTCTGTGCCTTTCAGATGCCATGGGCTTCCATGCCTTTGTCCCTGCCCTTTCTTTTCCCTGGAATTATTTCTTATTCCTTCTCTGCTCATCCAGTTATCTCTCATGGCCAAATTCAGGTTGTACCTCCATATATCCTTCTTGACTCCCTCTTTGATAGCTTAAACCTTTTTACTCCTATGGCATCTATGATCTGTTGACAATAGGCACTGTTGTTTACCTACAGAAGAATGTG